CTCCTCTGGTCCTCCAGAACCTCCAACAACTGGTCTCCTCTGGTCCTGGATGTTTACAGACTGTTGACAGAGGAAGGGGATAAAAAACCTAAACTAACATAAAAATGTATTTTTTAGCCTAAATGTTTGATGTTTACTTTGTTTCACCGTATTTAAAAAATACGGGTTCATGAGATTTGACAATCATTAAATTCTGTTTTTATTTACATTTTCCGTAACTTTTTTTGGACTTGTTCGTGATGTCAGGTTGTAATTAGCAGAAAACCCGTGTCAGCAAACCGTGAGCTGCTCTGTGGACGCTCTGCAGCCTCTGAGCTTTGCACAAACCAAACGTCGCTCCGTTCACGGCCGCCTTGTTTGAAGAACTGAAATACTTTACATTCTTGCTCACATTGTGTGCGAGCTGCCCAAGTCAACGGTTGTAAAAGCGTATTGCCTAAAGATAACAGTTCCAATCCTGCAGGATTCAGCTTATATCTCTGTCCATTCAGCCCGAGCGCTTCTTGTTTGGGGTTTGTTAATTGATTGTGTTCATTGTGAGCCGTTTCTTTCTGTCTTTCTTGCACACTCGAGCTTTTATTCATTCTGCTTGACCTTACGTGTTTTTCCCCCGATGTGGAGACTCGCCTTCTTTTTCCATTCATCAGTCGAAGGCTCGGGGACCTGCATGTGGATCTGAATCCACCTGAGGGGATGTCCAAGCCTCTCATTGACCCCGGACACCTGCGGCGGAGTCCATCTGGGCAGAGGTCACGTGCTTCCTTTAAGCTCCCACTAAACTGACACTCCCACAGGGGCCCCCCAGGATCAGCTGTGGGATTGTGGATGCCTGGAGGCGGAAGGGGCCTGCTGATGTTTTCAATCAGTATTATAAAGATGTTCTCGCGAAGCTGTTCTTTATCTTTTTAAACTGGAACTCGGAGCAGTGGCTAAAAGAGTGAGATTGTTGTCACTGGAGGTCCAAATGAGTTTTCTCAGCTTAGCTGGACTCTCCCTTAGAGATAAGGTGAGAAGTCCAGTTATTCAGGAGAGACTCGGGGTAGAACCGCTGCACCTCCACATCCAGAGGAGCCAGTTGAGATGATTCAGACACCTGGTAAGGATGGACCCTGGACGCCTAATCAGGGAGGCATGTCCAATTGGGAGGAGACACTGGCTGGTCGGGGAACACCTTGGGAGTTGTCTCAGACGAGGTGGCTTTGGACAGAAGTGTCTCGACCTCCCTGCTCAAGTTGCTGCCCCTAAGACCTGAGTCCAGAACAAGATGATTGACTGGCTGGTTGATTGATTGATGGGTGGATGGACAAATGGATGAATTAACTGTGAAATTGGTTTCATCCATCCATTGTTTTTATCTACTTGGTCTTGTTCAGGGTGGCACGGTGGCGCAGTTGGTAGAGCTGCTGCCTCTCAACGAGAAGTTTGCTGGATCGAATCCCAGCCAGGGGCTTTTCTGGGTGGAGTTTGCATGTTCTCTCCAGGTACTCTGGTTTCCTCCTACAGACCAAAAACATGCATGTTAGGCTAAGTGGTAATTAAATTGTTCCTACGTGTGAGGGAGTGAATAGTTGTTTGTCTCATTTGTCTCTGTGTGTCCCTTTGATGGACTGGAGACCTGTCCAGGGCGTCCCTCACCTCTCGCACGGTGACTGCTGGACATGGGCACCAGTGACCCCCACAACTTGGAAAGGAAGAAACGGGTAAAGATAATGGATGAATGGTCTTATTCAGGGTCCCGGGGACCTGGTGCTTATCCCCAGGGGTCATTCATCGAGAGGCAGGCGACACCCTGGGCAGGTCCACTATCCATCACAGGACCACATAACAAGACAGACAACTTTCAACCCTCACACTTAGTGACAATTTAGAGTCACCAATTAGCCTGATGTGCTGGTTTTTGGATTGTAGGAGAAGACACAGAGAAAACCCAAGGAAAGGGTCCTGACCAGCTGCTCCATCGTGAGATGGGTTCAAACTCCAAAAATGTCCATTGTTGATGTTTTTACCAGTTCTGCTCCAGAGGCAACAGCTTGATATAAGTAAACTCTACTGGAACCTCTTCCACATGTTGATGATTGTACTTTGTAACTCCAGATGTTTGTGAAGCGCTCCAAAGACAAGGATACCAAACAGAAGGTACAAGCAACACATGCAAATAAAACATCAAACTACCAACAACAACAAAAAGTAGGGTTCAAGGTCATTAAGGCAGTTGGTAAAGGAGGGGGACAGGAGGACGGAATTGGGTTTACTGGAGAGATAGAGCTTGATGTCATCTGCATAAAAATGGAAGTGAATGTCAAATTTATGGAAAATTACTAATGGGAAGGAGGTAAATGATGAGGAGGTGGTTAAAGGGGATGGCTTGAAAACAAAATATTAAAGTAGAATAAACTTCTTGTTTTAGCTTTCAGATCTTTCTGTTGAATATCTAATGAATAACACAATCTGAAATCTTGTTCCATCTTTCAGAATCCCACATCTGCAGATGGACCAAGTTCAAATATATCACAGCATAAATACAGACGTGGATATTTGTAGGTTTACCTGATGTGACCAAGAGCCAAAAAGCTCCAGTTCTGTCTCGTCAGATCCAGGAACGTCGGTTCTTGGTTCTACTCGTCTTGTCTTTGTGGTGTTTTTACCAACAATGGAGCCTCCTGGGTCGTTGTCAATCATGACTCAAAATGTGAAATGTGGTATGATGAGAAGGTGACATACCTTGGAGTTCTGCTTGAATGGTTCTAGAAGGTTTCCTTTGATCATTTTCTACCTTTTGCACTGATCAACCTGGTGTCGCATTTCCTCTTGCGTCCACATCTTGAGAGGTTGTCTACAGTCCTGTGGACCTTCTACATTTTAATATTAGCAGCTGTGGTCAGAGGAACTGAAACTGCTCAGAGGCGGTCCTGAGGCCTTTACCCTCGTCTCTGTAATCTTATTTTCAAGC